GCCTGCACCCCCTGCTCGTCATCGTGTCCTGCCTCACGCGGGACCCCTTCAGCAGCAGCCTGCAGAACCGCGCCGAGGTGGACAAGGTGAGGGGCCCTCCGGGGCAGGGGAGCAGGGGCAGGGGCTGCCGTGTCCCACATGTGTCCCACGTGTGTCCCACGTGTGTCCCTGTCCCAGGCCAAGGCCGTGCTGAGCCGGGAGAGCGGCAGTGACCACCTGGCCTTCGTGCGGGCTGTGGCGGGCTGGGAGGAGGTGCTGAGGCGCAGGGACAGCCGTGCCAGGGACAACTACCTGCAGGACTACTACCTGTACGGGCCCAGCCTGCGCTTCATCAACGGTGAGTCTGGGGCCTGCTGCTCCCTGCCCCCAGAAAGGCACCGTGAGGGGTGGGGGGCAGGAACGGGCTGGACTGGGCAGGGCCTGGCTTTGGCACAGGATGGAGCTCCTGTCTGTCCTGCTGAGGTAATCACTCCGAGGGATGAAGGGAGAGGATGAATCTCATCCCTGGGGCTGTCTAATCCCCTCCAGGCCTTGTCAAGCAGTTCTCTGAGAACCTCTACGAAGCCTTCCTGGTGTCATCCCCATCTGACTGTACCATGCCATCATCTGTGTGTAACCAGTACAGTGAAGAGGAGGAACTGGTCAAGGGAGTCCTCATGGCTGGGCTCTACCCCAACCTCATCCAGGTACTGGCTCTGCCATCACCCTCCTGGGCTTGCTGGTCACAGTGGGTGGCATCGGGAAGCGCTGAGGTGCCAGAAATGCCTGTGCTCTCTTGGAAGCATCCCCCCAAGCCAGGCTTCCTGCTCTGTGCTCCTGCCTGTGCTCCTGCCAGCCTCTCCAGGGCTATCCCTGGACCCCCGCTCATGAGGAGTGGCCACCCTGGCCTGCACAGATCCACGCCTGGGTTCTTGTTACTTGGTCTGGGAGTTGTTGAGGTGGCTCCTCCTCCTGCCTGCTGCCCAAGGTGGCATCTTTCTCCTCCCGTTTGCTGCCCCTGCACAGGGTTGGGTGACTGCCCAGTCTGGTCACCCCATGAGTGTGCTCTGCTAACCCAGCAGAGCTTCTGGGAGTAGAGGAACATCCTCACGCCTCCCCCACACGTAGGAGAGCTGGTTGTGGGTGGGCAGGGCCTGCTGGTTGTGCAGGCCTTTGAGATTCTCCCATTCCAGGTGAGACAAGGCAAAGTGACCCGCCAGGGGAAGTTCAAACCCAACAGCTACGCGTACCGGACAAAGGCCGGCACCGTCCTGCTGCACAAGTCAACCATCAACAGGTGGGTGCCAGACCCCACAGCACACATACCACAGCCCAGTGGGCTGTGCTGAGCACCCCTGTGGCTGTGCCAGGGCCAGAGCCCAGCGGGCTGTGCTGAGCCATCCCCGTGGCTGTGCCAGCCCCAGAGCCCAGCCTGGCTGTGCTGAGCACCCCTGTGGCTGTGCCAGCCCCAGAGCCCAGCCTGGCTGTGCTGAGCCATCCCCGTGGCTGTGCCAGCCCCAGAGCCCAGCCTGGCTGTGCTGAGCCATCCCCGTGGCTGTGCCAGGGCCAGAGCCCAGCCTGGCTGTGCTGAGCACCCCTGTGGCTGTGCCAGGGCCAGAGCCCAGCCTGGCTGTGCTGAGCCATCCCCATGGCTGTGCCAGGGCCAGAGCCCAGCCTGGCTGTGCTGAGCACCCCCATGGCAGTGCCAGCAGGTGGGGCTGACAGGGCTGTCCATGCAGGGAGGCCTCCAAGCTGTACAGCCGCTGGCTCACCTATTTCATGGCTGTCAAGTCCAACGGGGGCGTGTTCGTGCGGGACTCGTCCCAGGTGCACCCGCTGGCCGTGCTGCTCATGACCGACACCGACATCCACGTCCGAGGTGAGTGCTGCCGGGGGCACCGAGTGCTGCCGGGGGCACCGAGCTCTGCCGGGCCCTGGGCCTGCCCTGCTCTCCGAGCTCGCGCTTTGGGACGGGTGTTGCTGTGGTGGGGCCTGTGTGGCGGTCTGTGAGCTGTCCCCGGCTGTAGCTCTGCAGGGAGACAAGGAAGGCAACCCCAGCAGGCTGAGCCTGTAGGCCTGTGTGCCTGGATCATCCTGGGGGAAGGAGAGGCTGAGCTGGCCTGATCCCGCCTGTCCCTGGGGATGTGTCCCTTCAGCCCCTGGGGGTCTGGCAGTGCTGCAGTCGGTCTCCAGCCCTCAAGCTCAGACGGGCTTGCCGTCAGTCACCTCCTGCGGGAAACTGGGAGGATCCCAGTGTGTGCTCAGAGTGCTGCCTGGCTTTTGTGGGAGCTGTTGGCCCGGCTGAGTCCCTGTTGGTCTAAACTGGGAAGGAGCTGTGTAGCAGCAGTGGAGAGGCTGGAGCAGCCAGCACAGGTGAGCCCCGTGCCCACCCTCCCCTCCGCTCTCTCCCAAGATGACGGCTGGAGAGCCACCGTGTCCCTGACGGACAGCGACCTCCTGGTGCTGGAGGGGGACTCCTACACCATCCGCCTGCTGCGCGACTTCCGCGTGTCCCTGTCCAAGATGGTGGAGACGTGCCTGTGCTACGAGATGGCCGCGATCCCCGGGGACCTGCACCACCAGCACAGCCAACTGCTCGACATCCTGGTGGATCTGCTCAAGGGCCCTCCCGGCAGCTTTGGCTCGTAGGCGGAGCTGGAGGCTCCTGTGGGGACTTGTAATTTGTATAAAGATGTTCACAAATGTTTATTTAAATAAAGTTCTATTTATCCCTTGTGAAGTCATCTCTCTCCATCCTAGAAGATTAATGTTGTCTGAATCTCCTGCTGTCGGCTCCGTGCATGGTCACCGCGTGGGAAGAGCAGCGGGAATGGACTGGGAGTGCCGATGGACCCGAGCTGCGTGGACACCCACCCGCCTCCTCCGTGCCCAGCGCCGTCCCTGACGGGAAGCGAGGACGTGGCCGCCGGGGCCGTCCCGTGCCCCCTCCCCACGGGGCCGGGCTGGAGCCGCTCCGCCGCCAGAGCCCCTCCGGGCTCACCACGAGGACGGACCTCGGCCGTGCCAGGCCGAGCCTGGATCCGGCAGCTCCGGCGCAGGGATCGCCGTCTCTCCACTCTCCACGTGCCCCGAGGGGAGGAAGCCCCGAAGGCGCCGGATGGAGGTGACATTCCATGGGGATCTCCGAGCCTGCCAGCGGGGCCCTGCCAGCCCTCAGTCGTGGCGTCCTGAGTGTGAGATGTGGCTCGTCCTTCCCAACCCGCCTGTACTTTTCGTCCTCTTGCGTTGTTACTATGATTTTTTTTTAAATCTCCCGTTCTCCCTTTGGCGAGGAGGCCGATCCCTGTCCCCTGTGCACACAGGAGTGATTGTAGCTGCCGGGCCGCCCGCGGGCACCGCTCCCGCGGGACGCCGGGAGCGCAGGCACAGACCTTTGTTTTCTACGAACAGGGACCATATTTCCGTGGAAGGAGGATTGCGACAGGCACAGCACTCAACGAGGAACCTGGAGTTTAATCCCAGCTTTGCCTTGGACTCTCTGTCCGTAAGACAGTGACCTACCTCACAGGGCTGTTGTGAGGCTTCGCTGGCGTTTGTACCAGGAGGGACTCGGGGCGCGAGGGCTGTGCCCCCGGCGCTGGAGGGGCCCGCAGGGCCTGGGGTCATTCCTTTTTATTCCCATTTCTTATGCTCTTTGTATCTGCAGCAGAGGTGGTGGGCTCTGAGGGCCCCAGCCGGGCACTGCTCCGGGCAGTGGGAGCGAGGCCGTTCCTGCCCCTGGAACAACGGCAGAGCAGCCCCGGGGCCCCCCTTTGGTTCTCCCAGTTCTCTGATTTAATTTACTGCTCATGGGCTTTAAGGCACTGTGCCCTGTGCCAGCACAAGGGGCCCTCGGAGTCCTGCAGCCTGGGGTCACTCAAAACTTCTCATCTTCATTTCACTTGCTTGAGGTTGTCACTATTATTTGACCAGTGTTTGTTTCTTTTGGCCTGTATAATGGGCAGTATGGTTTTCCCTTCCAGCAGGTTTAAAAAAAAGAAAAAAAGACAAAAAAAAAAAGACTAAGCTATTGTCTAAATGGTTCCGAACTAGTGTGATATTGGGATACTTCCGTGGCTGTTATGTGATACTGGATCTTTTTACAACATAGATTAAAGACAATAAAAAGGGATAGAGTAGGAACCGCCTCTGTCCTCTTCATTCTTTTTTGCTATTTATTTATTTACTGCACCATCTGGAATTTTGTGCCTTTTCTTTGGCCACTTCTCTGGTGGGAGAGGTGCAGAGCTGAGGGGGGAGGTGGGTGGGGAGGGCACAGGGGGCTAAAGGGACCTGGCACTGTGGGACCCCCTGTCAGTGACAGCCTGGGGGGCTGAGGGATCGCTGTGGGGTCAGCTGGCAGGACACAGTCACCCTGCAGTGCCAGAGCGTGCCCGGGGCTGGTGGTGCCCAGGGGAACCAGCCCAGTGTGTCCCAGGGCTCGGAACCGTCGGTGTCCAGAGCTGGGGGTTCGTTCCCAGGGCAGGGCTCGAGGAGGGGCAGAGGAGCTGCTGCTGCTCAGGGACCTGGACCTTGGGTCCAGATGCTGTGTGGGGTCCCAGGTTGTGTCTGTCCCGAGTGTGAGTCTGAGCCAGGGTGGAAAACCTTCCCTTCCTACGAGTGAGGGGGTGGTGGCCCCCGGGGGTTCCCCTTTGGTCACGTGTGTGTGCAGGGCCTGGCACGGGCCACTCCAAGAGAAGCCAGGTGGGATGGGCAGGAGGGGAAGGTGGGCTCCTGTGGCTCTGCCCCTGGCTGTGCCAGCTGTGACACTGCCACGGGCACCAAGGGCTCTCACTGGCCCCGGGGGCTGCCCACAGGACGCCTCTCCCGTCTGATCCCAGGCTTGAGGAGCAAAGCCATGGATGGGGATTTTCTGTGGCTGAAGGAATCGGATTCAACCGAATTCCTTCCCCCCCTTCCTTATGGCTTCCTGTGCCAGCGGCATCTCAGGTGCCCCTGACTGTGCCACCGCGCCCTGCCCGGCCTTCCCACCCCCACAGACTCAGGCCCAAGCTGAGGAGGAACATCTAGAAGCTTTATTTCAACCCTTTACAATAGTAAGAATCACAACATCAAGTCAGGAAATGTTGCTAAGGAGACGACGGTCTTACAGCCCCTCGGGGAGGGTGAGACACAAAGGCAGAACCAAACGGGTGGGTCCCCCCAGGCAGGGGGGCTCTGCCCCAGCCCACCCCCCGGAGCTGTGGTCTCACACCAAGCACTGACCTCCCCCTGCCCGGGGACAGCCCCGCAAACAACCCTATGACACAAACAACAGGAACACGTCACACTGAGAACACGTCACACGCTGCTCACGCCTCACGACAGCCCGGTGAGGTAAAGAGTGTCACCCCCGCGAGGGGGGAGCTGAGGCAGAGAGGTTTAGTGGCTTCCCGGGACCGAGGAGGGAGCCCGGAGCCGGGACCACCCTCCGGGCTGGGCTCTGCTCACCCCGTCCCGTGTCCGACCCCCCTCGGTCCCGGTCGGTGTTCCTACGGTGCGGGCAATGGAAGCTGCAGGTGATGCCGAAGGTGGGACGAGCACGCGATGGAGGCTCGTGTCTGATCCTGCCCCAGACACCGGCCGGCGGCCGCCGAGACTCGGGGGAGGGAGGGGGAAACGCTCACCCGGCCGGAGTTCAGTGGGGAGGAGGAAGGAGAGCCCGGGCATTCCCACTGCTGCCTCCCGGAGCCGTTTCCCGCCCCACCCGCAGGGTCCCGGGGCCGGGAGGGCTCGGGGGGGACATTCCTCCCAAGCCCGGAGGCCGCCGGGCCCCCCAGCTCCTGCCTTTGGACAGCCGGGAGCGGCTCCCGGGGCTCGGCCCTTCCCTCGGGGACGCCCCGTCCCCCCGAGGGTGTCACTGCCACCAAGCTCCAAGAAAACTAGAAATTCTGCCTAAACGACGCAAACGCGGGGGGGTCCCAGAGCCCCCCTCGCACCGACACTACGCGGGGACAACACCGGGGGTCAGCGTAGAAAACTACATTCAGTTTGCGGTCAGGACCCGACCCACGGGAGCCACGGCCCGGGGCAGCAGCGGAGCCGCCGCTCCCGTGGCCTCAAGCCCACAAACTTGTTACTTGAATGTACTTGTTTAACAGTATAAAAAGCCCGAAGTAACTGTATATGCCACTGATATGCAGGGAGACACCAGGCTCCGGAAAGGGGGGAGGCTCCTGCCTGGAGGGACCCCAGCTGGGATGGAGCTCCCACCCGGCCCTGCTCCCTCCCCATCCCTTCAGCAGCTCAGACACCTCCAAACCCTCATCCTGAGCTCTGGGAAGGGCTTTGCTGAGCCTCCAGCCCAGCCTGAGCCCAGCTCAGCTCAGCCACCCCTGCAAAGCCAGGACCCCCCAGCGCCAGCTCAGGACAGGAACGTGTACATTCAACTTGCATCTAATTCAGACCACAACTCCTATTTTTTCCCAAATTTGCTGCCTCCAGCCCTCGGTGGAGCTGCCGGCCCCCTCCCACCCGGCAGCGTCTCTGCAGGTCTCTGCACCACCCAGCTCATCCCACCTCTCCAGAAAGGAAAAGCCATTTCCAGCACACACGGCTCCTTCCCAGCAATATGTACAGCCGCTTCCTCAAGAGAAAATACAAAAAAAGAAATCCATATTAAAACTGAAGCTGTCCTAGAAACACCACAGCAAACTAATGTATCCGGATTTAGTTCGTCAGCTAAACACAGGCACAACAAGTGTTAGAGAAGTGGCACAGAAGCACAGGCCGGTGGGGGCAGCTGGGCCGGGGGCTGTGTCGGGCAGGGACAGGCCTGGGTGCCAAATCCTCATCCAGGGCTGCCCGGCAGTCGGGAAATGGGATAAAAGCAGTGCAGGGGAGAGGTGATGTCGCTGTCCCTTCGCAGGGGACGGGGGCTCGTTTGCTGTTTGTTTTTTGCAATCTCAGAAGATAAAGTGCAATGTTGCCACCTGCCTTCCTCCTGCAGCACCTGAACCACGGCCGGGACCCGGCTGCCTCCCTCCGCCCGGGAATCTCATCCCGGGGCACTCAGGGAACCTCCTCCCGGGGTGCCCCGGGCAGAGCAGCAAGAGGGACACGACATCTCAGCCTCCACCTCCTCTTTGGTTACCCACGAGCATCTCCGGCCGCTGCCCATCGGCACAAACCCTGCTGCCAGCTCGGTGAGCCTGGAGGGCGGCTCCAGCCCTTCCCAGCCCGTGTTGGTGGGTCACAAGCAGGGAAACCAGGCTCCAGGCAGGGAAGCCGGGATCCAGGCAGGGAAACCAGGCTCCAGGCTCACCGTGCAGGCCCAGGACCCTCACACCAGCCCCTGCCAGCCCCGGCCCGGAGCACACGGACGTTATTGCTTGGGAAACACACGGCCCCTGCCCCGTCCTGCCCAGGGGCTCGGCCTGCTCCTCTCCTCTCCTCAGTCCCTCTCCTCCAAACTTCCCCTGGATTCAAGTGTTGGAAAAAAAGAAACCAAACCAAAGCCAAGACTGACAAGCTGAAGCTGGTGTTTAGAATTTAGCAGTAAGAGAAAGAAGGAAGCGCCAGCGGGAGGGCAGTGATATATACCGGGGTGGGACACGGGGGACAGGCAGCACCGGCTCGGGGCCGGAGAAACGGGGTCCCGGCCCCAGCTCCAGCTTCTCCTTGCGGAGCCAGGGCTGGGATCAGTGCTGGGAACGCTGGGAGCACACACAGACAACAGGAGGGCAGGGAGCGATGGCACGTTCCCTGTTTGGGATCAAAGGGATTCGGCACAGAGGGAGCGGAGAGATGGGGAGGAGGGGGAGGAGGAGGAGGAGGAGGAGGAGGAGGAAGAGGAGAAGGAAGAGGAAGAAGTGGAGGAAGAGGAAGGGAAGGAAGCACTGGGAGGGCTCCAGGGTATATATAACCGCCCCTTTCAGGTGCAAATCTGCATTGTTTCAATTTGTATTCAGAGCAAAAAGCACTTATGAAACTACCAGACGACTTTGATGCAAACTAGTACATTTTAATGCCATTTTATTAGAAATCATGCAAACTTTAATATAAAAAATACAAGTGCAATAAGAATCTTTGTGTGTAAATACAGATTCCGGGTTATCGTGTCATTGTCGGCTTCCCAAAGAAATATTCCCACAAGCATGAGAAGCTGCAGGCTTCCCTCTGTCCCCTCCTGGAGCAGCCCCCCCTTAGCACAGCCTGGTTCAGTTCTCTTTGATCCCAGTGTTTTGCTATTCCGCTTTTCTTTGTTTTTTTTTTTTCTCTTTAAATTAGTTTGACCACCCAAGAACACTTTTTTTTTTCTTTCCTGTTTTAATTTATTTACATTTCATTTCTTTAGTGTCATTTGCAACACGAAACGAGGAGCTCCAAGAGTGGGAAAAATCTCCTTCCTAGTCAGAGCTGCAACTCCCTGGCACTAACCCTGCCCCGCTGCCCAGCCCAGGGCTCCCGGCTCGCTGCCCATCCCGGGACGGGCACTGCCCTTTCCTGCTCATCCCGACGGTCCCCATCCATCAGCCTCGCTAAAACCACACACACACCCACACACACACACATCCCTCACACCCCAGGACCTGCTTCAGCCTCGGACTCCCGGCCTGCCTCAACCAGCCACGGCAGCCTCCTGCCTCCCCGCAGCCCTCGGCCCTGGAAAACCGGGATGAATCCCAGGGCTCCGGCCGTGCCAGTGAATAAATAAACCACCTTTCCCTCGCTGACACGCAGGAGGCCCCGGGCACCCCCCGGGGGAGGGTCTATGAGCATCTCCTAGAGGTCAACACAGGCTCCACCTGAGCTCTCACAGCAAGTTCGCCTTTAACACATCCCTGTGCCTCTCGTTCCAGACATGGCTTAAATCCCATGAACTCGCTCCATCGGTTCGAAATATTGAAAGAAACCCCAAACAACAACAAGGAAGTTACAATGGCTGGATATGTCAGTAAGAAGCCAGCACGGCAGCAGCGGTTAATGTCCCTACTCTCCTACGGGGTGGGAAGGAAGGAAAGAGAAAAGGAAACTTAGCACGGGGCTCGTAGCACAATAAATCATCAACACGTCGTCACAAAGAATAAAAGGTTCAAGTCAACAGTTAAAACAGCCTAACGAGTGTGGAGGGTTTATATCAGCATCCAACTGAAGCGGTGAGGAGGGAAAGGGGGTAAAAAAAAGAGACAGAAAGAAAGATCACAGCTTATCCCTGTTAACTCTGGCCTGGCTTCAGCCCCCGGCACATCCCTACACTGGAACGGCCCTGGAGCCGCTCGACCCCGGCCCCGACGCGACACCACCGCTGGAGTGACCCCCCAAAGCCAACGGGACGGGGCACGGAGAGGGAGGGAAACCCCTTTCCAGCCACGGAGGGACCCCCGAGCCCGGGCAGGGCCGAGCCCCCGGGACGCCCCGGGGAGCAGGAGCGGCCCCGGCCCTGCGGAACGCTGTCCCTTCCCACCTAAAGCCAGAGGCCGGGTCAAGAGAGCCAAGCTGGGTCCTCGGGGCGGTGGAGCGGGGCCGGGGGGTCACAAGCCTTGCTGGGAGGGCGCGGCGGGGCCAGCCGGCCGTGGCAGCGGTGACGGGGAGGCGCCGGAGCCCAGGCTCTCGCTGGCAGAGGTGCTGCGCCGGGGGGAGGTGCTGCTGGAAAGGTTGGGGGGTTTGGAGACGACGATTTCAGCTCCGTGGTCTGTGCGAGCCTTGGCCTTCTCACGGAACGTCAGCTTGTGAGATTCAATCTGCAGCGACACAGGGGTGGGGGACACGGGGAGGGGGCGGGAGGGGCGGGAGGGAGAGGGGACGGGGAGGGGGGGATGGAAGACGATACCAGAATGTCATCATTAGATGCCTGGAAGATAAAAGGCAATTTTCTGAATTAAAAGAAAGGCAGGACAGCCCTACAGACGTCGCTACAAACGGGTGGGGGCTGCCGGGCTCCCCCCCTCTCCCCGGGGCGGCACAGGGGGGGCCCGCGGGCACTTACTTGTTTCTTGTATGTGAGTCTCGAAGCTCTGAGTGTCCCTTTGCTCAGCGGTGCCCAGGCCGGGGGGCACGGCCGGCCCGACCCCGTTCTCCCGCAGCGCGCTGCCCGCCGGGGCCGCCGGGGCCGGGACCGGGACAGGGACCGGGACAGGCACCGCACCCGGCACCGCACCCGGCACCGCGCCCGGCCCCGGCCCCGCTCCGCCCGCGGCCGCCGGCGGCTGCCCCGGCTCCGCACCGCCCTCGGCCTACAATGACAAACGGGGCACCCGTCAATGCGGCAGCGCTGCGGTGCGGGGGTGGGAGGGATGTCAGAGGTGCAGGGGGATGTGAGAGGTGCAGGGGTGTCAGAGGTGCAGGGCTGTGGGGTGCAGGGGTTGTAGGGGTGTCAGAGGTGTAGGGGTGTGAGAGGTGCAGGGATGTGGAGTGCAGGGGTTGTAGGGGTGTCAGAGGTGTAGGGGTGTCAGAGGTGCAGGGATGTGGAGTGCAGGGGTTGTAGGGCTGTCAGAGGTGCAGGGGGATGTAAGAGGTGTAGGGGTGTGAGAGGTGCAGGGGTGTCAGAGGTGCAGGGCTGTGGGGTGCAGGGGTTGTAGGGATGTCAGAGGTGCAGGGGGATGTGAGAGGTGCAGGGCTGTGAGAGGTGCAGGGGTTGTAGGGCTGTCAGAGGTGTAGGGGTGTGAGAGGTGCAGGGATGTGGAGTGCAGGGTTTGTAGGGCTGTCAGGTGCAGGAGCATGTGAGAGGTGTAGGGGTGTCAGAGGTGCAGAGGGATGTCAGAGGTGCAGGGCTGTGAGAGGTGCAGGGGTGTGTGGGGTGCAGGGGGATGTGAGAGGTGCAGGGGTTGTAGGAATGTGAGAGGTGCAGGGGGGTGTGAGAGGTGTAGGGATGTGAGAGGTGTAAGGATGTGAGAGGTGCAGGAGAATGTGAGAGGTGCAGGGGGGTGAGAGGTGCAGGGCTGCGAGAGCCTGGAGTGACAGGACACAGGGAATGGCTTCCCACTGCCAGAGGGCAGGGATAGATGGGATATTGGGAAGGAGTTCTTGGCTGTGAGGGTTGGGGAGGCCCTGGCACAGGTTGCTCAGAGAAGCTGTGGCTGGCCCTGGATCCCTGGAAGTGTCCAAGGCCAGGTTGGACGGGGCTTGGAGCAACCTGGGCTGGTGGAAGGTGTCGAGGTTGGAATGGGATGATCCTTAAGGTGCCCTCCAGCCCAAACCATTCTGGGACTGCACAATAACAGTCCCAGGGTCTCCCTGAACACAATTCCCAGCACCCCCTGGTCATGCTGTGCCGTGATGGGTCAGTGTCCCCTCCCCGAGCACAGACATCACATTCCTGCAGCCACACCTGGAACGTGCAGAGCCAAGGCTGGGGACAGTTTGTGTTCCCATGGGAGAAGGGAG